TGACCGCCATTAGGATTCCTCTTCGATAATACGTCTAGTCGGACGTTGCTCCTTCATTACACGACCTAACCTCTTCGCTCTTTGTATTCATTCGAGCGCAATAATTAATGGCTTTCCGTGCAACTGAATTGCATTCAGCCGTACTATCACTTTGATTAAGATATCTCATGTTCTGAAAATTCAATTGGTCTACTCATAAATGTTCTATATGTTTGTAAGTCATTTTTTATAATAATATTATTCATCAATGAACCCCTTTGATTAATACTACTACTAAGGATTTATCTCCATTGTTTGCTCAATCAACTTTTATTATTTGCTTACAAACACAAAGACCATTTTATTCCAAGTTGAAATAGAAGATGTGATTTAGACTTCTGTTCTTTGATGTTGAATAACACCGACAAATTAAAGCTTAGTTTTGATGTTCCTAGTAGGATGTAAGATTGGCACATTACTGACTTAATATTAGACCAAATTATTTAACCTTGATCCAATTAATATTGGGTCAACAATGGAACTTTCTTTCCTCTAAAAATTCTAAAATAAAATTTTAAATTCATCTTTACATAACCAAGTAGAGATCATAGCGAAAATTTGTTTGATTTCGACTCAGCTTCAACTTCATATTTAGGTCAAAATTGAGTCTCATACTTGGAGTAAGAGAAGCAAATAAAATGATAAGCAGGTTAAAATTTGACACAAGTTTTTTTTTGTTGTGAAATTGCCTTTATCATATCTTCAGCTACTCTTATACTTATCTTCTACAGTTAATATTGAAGTAATATTTTTAAACTGATTTTTGGACTAATTGAAAGTATTCACAAAATTCCTTAATAATATCTTCATTGAGAATTTTAATAATTGGATCTCCAGGTCGTCAGTCTGTCTATTATGTCTCTTATTATAAATTAAATTGACAATACGTTGATATTTTATATTACAGGTATAATAAAATGGGGTAACTCGTGATCGTGCAACTTTTTTATGCCATAAATTTATATAGCTCGTAAGCTGGATTCGGTGGTTATATTGCTTTAGAACGAATAAATTAGTCATTTGAATGAAGAACAAATTTACAAGCAGTATAAAATTTTTCGAGTTCAATCTCAAAGGGTTATTGAAAATAATGTTATAGTAAAGTGGAGCAATATTATAAATAATAAAAAATATAAATTCTTAATAAATTATTTCAAATGTTCAATTTTGATTTTTAATCTTAAAATAATATTTATTTGTAGATTAAAAACAAAAAATTCTTATCTGGTTATAAAAATTTTTCTCCATTACAGAAATGTAATGTATTATTTTGCTGATGGATCAGACGAAATTCGTTATCATTTAATAGACAGCACAAGCTAATTTATCAAGAGCTGTCTGTCAATGGATATTTAGACTGAGTTCCATCATGCTCTAGCTTCAACTGGTCTAGGTCTATTTTAAAAAAAAAAAAGAAATATTTATCATCCTCTACCATTTCCATAATATTTATAGACAAATAAAATAGACAATAGTTTATCATAAATGAAAATTTGATCATGAAATTGTTTATTAATACCTTTATGATCAAAGCAATGTTGAATATTAATTATTTAATTATTTGTGTTATTCAACAATGTTGCTACAATGATCCTCTTGCATTCAATGATATCCCCTAATTAAAATAACAATTAATCCTGGTTTATTTCATAACAACTTGATCACATCCTTAATTAATCTTTGCGTTACAACTAAATCGTAGAGTTGATCATGTTAATGAGATAAAAATAAATAATAAAATAGAATTAACGGAGAGGTTTATCAAAACTGAAATTTATTTTACAAATTTATATTGAAGTAAAAGTGCAGTACAAATACAAATCATCAAAGAACTCGTTTCTCGAATAAACCTACGACTATTCATTCCAAATAAGATCGCAATTACGTGAGCTAACTCTGTGACAGCTACGTACGACAAGCAGTTTGCTCTTAAGAGACGAGGAAAAGTCGTTTGTATGAACAAGATCGTGTTCACTAATTTGATATCTTTATGCACTTCTGACTTGATGTAGATAGTCATTTTTTTTACACACAAGTATATGTCACTAATTATATTTTGTAAATAAATCTACAATTACAGACTTCATTAATTAATTATCAATTCCATCTCCAACTTCATTTTTCATTTATTTCCTCATAAAAAAGTGCAAAGTATTGAAAGTTACTTTTTTTTTAAATCTAAATATAACTTGAATATCAGTAAAAACTTTTTCAATAATTACTCAAGTAATTTATTAAAAGGTCATATTTATAAAGTTTCTATTATCTAAATTTTAATTGTTCACAAAATTTTTTATTAAATTATTGATAATTTAAAAATAAAAAAGATGGTTATAAATATCAACAAAAAAATTTAATAAAAAAAAACCTTCAGTTATTTTTAAACAAAAAAATCAATGTTAAGTCTATGCTATGACTTTGTTTTTTAATTTTAGCTATAAAAATGAAAAAATTTAATTAATTCACTTATAATTTGATTGATAGACCTAAAGTAATGAAGATAACAATAAAAGTACCATCAAAAGGTACGTGTGATGTTAAAAACACTTGATTAAACAATATTCCAAAACTCTTCAGTAAATGTAATAGAGTGATAATTAAATCAACCTTTTCTGAGAGTTAAAATTCAACAGTGATAAATTTTTTTCGTACAATTAATTGTAAAATAAAACAATAGTGAAATGGTTAAAGTTAAATTCAACAGAAGCTAGTCATTTGCAATCTCACAATCAGAAGCAGTAGTTTCTGGGTACAAAATGTCTATCTATGTACTCGAATTCTATAGCTTCACTTGCAAATACTCTATAGGTAGACATAGTATGTCAGTTTGCATAAAATCTGAACAGATGACAAAGGGGTAGGTTCATTTCCACGCTCCCGGAAGTGCATTGCTATTTTACCCTATCGTTCGTGAATGATACGGGTTGAAGTAAGCCCGAGGAGTGGCGGAAGTTGGCATTTCAGTGATCGTTGTCAGTCCCTGCAGGCGTATGCTATGGTCTATAGCTCTCAGTGAAACCTTATCGGATATTTTCACGGTACGGTCCCCATTGTTGAATCCGTTCCTTTAGAGCAGCATTAACCGATGTTAAAACGGAACTGTGTAATGTGTTCAAAATGTCCAACTGTGGACTTGGACATATAGCATGAGTCAGTCGACAACCCTTTAGAGATGGTGGGGGCCAAGCTAAGTCTCACCACAAACGCTTGTATCTACTTACTTACCCACACATGATCGTTCGAAAATTCCAACCTTCCACTTGCTCATTCAAAAAGGGTTATAACAACCAACTTGACTCGTTGTTATCTGACCTTTTTGGTAAATTAAATGGCTTCACATAAATTTACAACTTGTTATGGGTTTTGGATGTGTTTGAATGTTCAGAGCTTTCAAAGACCAGTGAGGAGAAAGTTATAATTTACAACTTTTGATCCAACTTTTCTATACCCGTGAAATTTTAGAATCATATTTAGTTGCAATGGATGAAGAAAATTATTTCATATTTTATTCAGAAATGAAATTTGATTTAATATTAGATGAATGTTATTCTTGATGTTGAAAATAATAAAATAGATCATCTGTTTGAATTTAGTGGAAAATAATGTAATATTCAACAACATTATATGGAATTGTAACAAAAGGTCATTCTTTGTAAGCTATTTAAAACAGCCAAAATTAGTGATCTAGATTGGTAATTTAAGAAGCACTGAAGATTTATTTTTAATAGTTTTATGAATAAATTAATCTCTTGCACTTTTAAAAGGATGTAAAAAAATTTCTTTATCATTCAATAATTAACGTCTAATATTTAAATCTCATTATTAATATAAAAAATATTTTACCAATAGCTTAAAAAGTTTAATTAAAATTTTAATTAATAAATCATTTCTCTCTTTTATCTTCAAAGACTAATTCAACTTATTTTTATCATTCAGCAGAAAAAATAAAACTACTCCAAGTCCTGAATATTAGTACATAATTATTATTTAAATAATAATTATTATCTCCGCAAATTCTATATTTTATTTATTTTTTTTTACTGCATTTTTTACTTCTCTTTTCGAACAAAGTGAAAATTTCTCCTAGAACAAACGTGTTTAAATTCACGTTCAGGAAATTACTACACTTTCAAATGAGTTTACGATGAGAGTGCGTCCTCGGAACATACAATCAACTGGAGCTTTCGACGAAATTTAAACTCTTTCAAAGTACACCCACAATTTGTTATTTCGTGTTTGTAAATGTATTGGTTTCCTATGTATACAAGAGTTCAAGAATTTATATTTCCGGAAACTCATATGCAATGTTTTTTTATTAAAATACTCCAATCTCGTGTGAATATTAGCACACTCAAAAACAATCAGTGATAAAACTTGTCATTTTATTAAGTTATTTTAAAATTTAAAAGTCACTCTATATTTACATGGTTATGAAATTTAATACACTGTTTAATCTGGCTTTAATTACTGACTTATATTTACATTTATTCTCATTTTTCCTGAAGATATAAATGTTTAATTATTCTGAAAGTAACACAATGCAGTTTAAATAATAAAAATACTGTTAAATATTTTAATAAAATGATACTCCTAAATCGAAAATAATTCTTGGTGATAATATAAAGTTCATCAGAGTTTATTTCAATTAAAAAATAATTAATACATAGAATATACTAATAATAAATAGTACTACATAATATAAAATTATTTTAAAAAGATTTTTATGAAAATATAAGCGAGTTTCTGTCAGAGAATACAAAAACATTTGCAACATGTAATGAATAAAAACAAAATGAAAGCAAAAATAAGAGCAAAACAGTGTTACAATGCTTTTACTCTGATATCACAGTACACTCAATGATTTTATAGTTACCTATCTAATGCATCTAGGATATTTTTATTTCATAAACATTGATATTGTTTTATTATTTAGTAATTTACTGTTTGATTGTGTGTTGCAGGCTCGACCAGCCGGTGACCAGTTCAACATCTGCCATGGACGACAAAAAAGTAAGATAAATAATGTACAATAATTTATTTAAAGTTGCTTATAAGTAATATAATAAACTTCTAGTTTAATCTAGACTTTTAGGCAGGAAATCTAATTATCAATTTCTCATCAATCATGCAAAAAATGCAACTAATGAATTTGTGTAAACATGCAAATAGTCTAGATGATGTTCAAAACTAATATAAATCACGCAAACTGACTACACTTTCCTACCAAAATTATTTAAAATAAATTATTTAAAAAATCTTAAAAATATTTATCCTTTAGTTTACTTTCAATTTGAATTATTTATTCTTACAAAAAAGTAAACTAAAAATATTTTTATAAAAATAAATCAAAAAGTTTTTCAAATAATATTTATGTTTCCATTAAGATCTGATTTATTGAAGATTTATATTTAAAATGGCAATTCGCCAATATTTTTATCATCAAGAAAATTGAAATCAGCTTTGAAAGACAGATAAATCCAGCAATTGTTCATGTGACGAAGGAGTTTAGAATAGGCTTTAACATAAGAGAAATAAAATACGAAAAGTAGACGAAACAATTTCATTCTTCGAGAATGTATTCTTTTATATGCTCACCTATTGCTCCCTGCGATACAATAAGATTTCCTAGAGGACTTTCTGTCAGTCCAGATTGCTAGGTCATGAGTGGCTTCTCTTGTAATTCCATATAACAAACCCGTCACGTCGTAACGTTCTGGGGTTGACGAACAAGATAGACTCTATATATATATTTATATACGAATGGCTATTTCTCGAGTGCAAATTAACTGTCAAATTACCGGAGGGACCCCAGTTACATCATAGTGTGCAAAAAGTATAAAAAAATAATTTGATTCCATCTTTCTTTTTTATTATGACCGCATTGAGAATTTTTTTTTTCCTTCATTTCCTTTTCATTCTTGAAATACACATTTTACTGAGTAAACGAAGCACCAGTGAATAGAATTGTGAAGATAATGAAATTAAATATAATAAAATTATTAATTTTTTCTTTTTATTTAGAATGAAAAATTTGTTTGATGTTCATGAGGATAATTTTTTTATTCTATCTTATAACTATATAGATACATTGTCGAGTTGATTACTCAATTTAAACCCGCCAATCAATTTCACTCCTAAGCACAAACTTTGATAACACGCTAACATTGCTTCATCTGGATCCACTGCTATGATATGACGCTCATAAATTCCAACATTTTCTCTTGTACACTACGATCTACTATTTAGTGCATTTTAATTATACCTGGAATGGCCGATTAATGTTCTATCAGATTAATGTATCAATCCATTTCAATCTACCTTGCAGATGCAACAATAAGTTATTAAAAGTGAATTATTTTTATCCATCCAAGTAGTAGAGGTCAATGAAAAAAAATTCTAAGTTTTATTTTTCTATTCGCAAGATAAATTGTTAAATTATACCTTTGAATACCTTTAATATGACTTATCAATACTTCAGATCTAATGGTTTGAAAATTACATTTTATTGTCGTTGATAAGGCTGGAAATATTGCAGCTAAAACTAGGGAATATTCGGTGGTGAGTTTTTGCTGAGGTAATTTTTTTATTGAGTGGTAATTTAAGTTTATTGAAGTTTTTATTTATAAATCAGGTTTAATCTAAGTCTAATAAGATTAAAATTAAAACTCAATGATACAAAAATATTTTATTTTTAATTTAATTAATCAACAAAAATTCATAATGATTTCTACTGTTAAATAAGTTAGGGAAATTTCAGCATTAATTTAGCATTTGCTGTTAGGAAAAGCTTCCTTCCTAAATTACAATTTAATTAAGACATCGTAACGATAATGAAGTATCTATTTAACAAAGTTTATTAAAAATTTCAAATAATGTGGAACTAATGGAAAAATGAGTGTCAGCTGAAGCATTGAGTTATCTTGTAACAGTAGATTTAATAAGACATTTTTTAGAATTTCATATAAACGTTCGTCTGTCAGAGGATTAAATTTAAAAGTAGTACTCTTTTGATTATTAACTTTAGCCACAAACTTCCGGTTAAAAAGCAGAAGACAAAAAACGTTGGGAACAATAATTCAGCTTGACCGAGACGCATAAAATTTAAAAAAATGTGGAGAAAAAAATAGAGCTCATCCACGTCGCTATTAGTGGCCATTCTCGTGTATCACCCTTAATTACAACGTAGTAATTCCTTCTCCCTCGCCTGTAGAAAATTGCTTCTGCTTATCTCATACGCTTTTACTCTAGTTTTTTATATTTTCCCTTTTTCTTTCACCTTCCTTTCACTGGAATTTTCTTTCATTTGTACAAAAAATAAAAGATTATTTCAATGCAACGAGTTGATTCGTTTGAAAATTTTATGTGTTAGAAAAGTTATATATATATATATATATGTATATAGATATAAAACATAGCATTTACACTCTAATATGGTGAAGAAAAAAAAAGAAAAAAAAAAACGAAATCTTAGATGCAAAGCTTGGAATTAAAAGTAATGAAGCCAATTTAGTTTCTCAATTTTTTTCATCCCTCGTCAGAATGCTCTTAACTTTTTATTGTGTACCTTTGTATTCCCAACGTGGTTTCTTTTGTTACTTTTCTCAAGTATCTCTTGGAGAATGGGTATATTTCCTACTTTTCTAGTAACCTCTTCGGGAATTGAATGAAACATCAAGGGAAAGTATTACTGTAATATCAACTTAAGAAGCTTTGCAGCAGGTATATCATTTTCAACCATATCATGTTTACTAAAAGTTTTAATACAGACTGATTTTTTGACTACAAAATTCACTACTAAATTCCCCCTTTTTTTTTTTTTGATAAAACAGAGTTTTATAACTTACAACTTTATTGTTGGAATAAATTTTTCTTTCGAGTTTTATGCATTTTTTACAGCTATAATTATTCAATGTCACACACAGTCAAGTCCAGGTGATATGTATAAAAAAATTTATTAGAGGAAAAGCTATAGTAACTTTTTAGCAACTTTAAACAACGTAACAGGTGCCATTTTAATTTCTGATTAATTCTTGACGGGTTAAATAAAGTAAAGAGATGAAAAAAAATTTAATTTGTGATGATAAATTTTTTGTTAGCAAACAATTTTAAAAAATATAAAAAATGATATGCACTTGTTGGTAAATTTAAAAAAAAAAATCAAAAACAAAGGAGATTAATAAATGATAATGAATATTTATTTTAACACCATTAATCGTGATAAAAAATTTATAATTAAATTATTTGATAGTATTTTATGCATTTATATATTTTTTAACCAGAAAATACAACTAAAATTATGGAAATATGTTATCCAATTTTTATCGAGATAAAAATTTTGATCAAATTTAATAACCGCGAAGTTCATCTCTGATTATTATTTTAACCATCGATAAAATTCTTTCAGGCATTTATTGAATATTTAAAAGCTATCCATTTAATAATTTGTTTTATTCTGCATTCTACTGCTTTATTATTATTTTTTTAGCCTTTAACAAAAATCACAAATTAATTTTTATCAGCAACAAAATGGTTAAAATATATACATTCCTTTCAAAATGAAATAATTAAACCAATCGCTAAAAAATACTTTTAAAAAATTATTTTTTACATCATAATAAATTCATGGAGTAGTGCATTTACCACTTTAATATATATCATCCCAATTTTAAACCAGAAACAAGTAAATCTATTTTTGTCTAAAAGTAATAAAGTTTTTTGTTGCCGAATTTTTAATAAAGTTCTAAGTTGCATAGTAGTTTACTTAAAAATTGATCTAAAAATTACAAAAATCCATCAAAATTTTATATTTTTTATAACAAATACATTTTTATCTACTGCAAATGCATTCCTTTCAAAGATCTTAGGTTCAAATGGACTATAAAAAATTTTTACCCACTAAAAATATGTCCAAAGCACCTATCAGACTTTAAAAACCGACACCATATATTAAGTTAGCAAGAAAATAATGAAATGTCTAGAACAGTTTTTAATTTTATTTTTTATTTAACAGTCTGCAAACTCTAATCTCCAATACAGTCATGGATACTTTGTATTCTAAAATGCTTAAATTGTAACAGTGCTTCACTATTGTCTTGCCAACCTAACATTACTGAATAAACATTGAGATAGGATCTTAAAAAAAATGTAACCCCAAGGAAGATTGATGATGAATTAAATAATTAGAAATGTATAAAAACAATATTAAAAAAAAAAGTTAAACACATACTTCATAATTGATTATTTTTCATGTCATAGTTTTTAATTACACTGCGACCATCGTTATATATTGTCATGCATATTTTTCTCGTTTTTTTCTTCTTATCGTTTGCGACAATCTCTTGAAAATGCTTTAATATTTCTCAAGAGTCTCATAAAGCTGAGTTTCACAAGATGCTTCATTTCGCCTTTATGAATAATAATGAGTATGATTAATTAACGTCTCAGTTGCATCACTTAAGAATAGCATATGATCCATCTTAAGGATTAGAAAACAGACGAAATCGGTAAAGTACAAAGGAGCAATACGTGTGTACACGATGAAGATTACACGCGTGAGAGAGTGATTAAAATGATGCATGAGAGTGTAAAATCACTGGGTATTCCTTTGAAGGTTGATCGTGTGGTCGATTAAAAGGAATTTTTCTCAACTGGACGCATCACGATACTGTCACTATCGTAGTCTCTAGTATCCCATCCTCCAGCTGCGCAGAATGACGTCGGTATTTGCCAGATCGATTCGTCTGACGCAAAAAAGAAAATATGAGAGTAGATCGTGCCCTTTTACATCAACTGTACAACTGTACTCTAAAGCTCTTTCTCGGATTTTGTTCAACGAATTTTTAACCTTTCTAGGTTAATTCGTAAATCTAAAAAATTACAATGTAAATTTTTAATATAATTGTTAACGATGTAGATGTTGAATATATATATGCTCATGCATATTGAATAGTTTAACTTAATTACAATTGTTAATCAAGTAGGTGAAAACAGAAAAAATTTTGTTCAACTAAGAATTGAGTTCAGAAAAAAAAAAAATTGATAACTTTGATGAGTTTAATTAAACCAATTAAACTGATCAATGGAAGTTAATAGGGAATACTATACAGAGATTACTTGAATTTTAATACGATTCCGGCAGTAATGGTTTGAATTATCGGTAAACAAGTTGATTCGAAGATGAAACGTGAATTTGGCGTTGGCAATTGAACTGAAATTTACAATTTTAGTAGAACTGATTGACTTATCAGCTTATTGATTCCACATAACATTTCTGGTTCTGTTAATTAATCAGATTCTTGTTGTAGATTTTAGTTCAACAGAATTAGTTGATAATTAAAACAATTCATTTTTGAAATTAATGTATAAATGTCAGCAGTAATTACATAATAAATTCCATTGTGAATCTCATCAAGACCTACCTCAAGATATGTAACATTTTCATGGGCAAATAATCATATGTGGAATTTCATTGTGGTCAGAGTTCTAAGTTGGTAGGAATTACACTTGGATTCCATGCCAAGTCTTAATGAGACTTACTTCTAAATTACGACTTTAAATGTAAACTGATTATTAGATTTGAGAAATCATCATATGTAAGTTCATCTAGAGCTTAATTGACTTAGTGCTGACACCAATCTAAATATGAAGCTTTGAAACTATCCTTTATTCACCCAAGAACGTGGTATTGACTCAACAAATAAATATATTGACTTAAATAAATTTGAAAAATATTTATGAGATTCTGTTTTATCAATTTTTTATTTTTATTTTTTTAAACAAGCACCAACCAATAAAGCAACCAATCAAAAACAAGTAAAAAATAATTGCCTTTAGCATCTTTCCAAGCTTTTTAGAAAAAAATTGAAATTTATATATTGATCAGTTCAACTAATGGTTAAATATTTTATCAACACCGGAAGATGATCCTCGAGCCAAATTTCAAAGCTCTAAGTGCACCGGAAGCGAGTGGAAAATAAGCTACAGAGTTTGACCTGAATAAACATGAAAAAAAGAATAAATAAAAATTTATGCCAGAAATGATTATAATTTAATTTCTTTCAAACTAGGTCTGCTTATTAATGATTCATTCAGTTAATATTTCATCAATGTTAAAATTAATCACAGCTTATTAAGTGGAGATTTATTCTCAATAAATTTTATTTCTATCTGAATTCTAATTCCTAACAATTGTGAAAGATTTGGTAGCTTAAACTTTGATGAGTTCTTCAACTTTGAGACTTATCGAAGAATCAATCCCGTTTCAATATCGTTTAAAGCTTACTGATTTTTTATTCCTCTATTTCTGCGTTCCTCTCTGCTATTCTGGTCTACAGAAAAACGGAAACACGAAAGCTTTCGATCTTCCGGAGTCGTCCCGGACGTCTGTCCAATATCCGGTCTCGTACCTCATTTTCTCTTGTTCTATTTTCTTCACTAGACTTTCTCATCATTTTTATTATTTTTTTTTGTTCTTCAATAATGCACATTCTGCATAAAATTTTGATGCAAACTCTCGGCACAAATCGTTCAGTAGCAGCTGCGATCAATGGTAAAATGTCAATTCAATCTCCAAAATTTTTTATTTTCCTGTATTTAGATAGATGGCTTTCATAAAAATATTAATGCTTCCTTGTTCAAAGTGTGAAATAATAGAAACAAATGCATCAATCATCAAGATGAATAATCGATTCAGTTTCAATTATTTCGCAACTCATCTTCTCTACAATATTCAACAAATATAAATTGCTTTAGTCAAGTTTGTTATTTGAAATATATTTGTGTTGGAATAAAAAACAAAACTAGATTTAAGACAAAGTTTAAATGATTTGAGTAGTTAAACACATCTTCAGGAACTATCATAAAAACATTAATCCAAAGTTGATAATTAAATTCTAAAAATGATTTAATTTATGTTTGACATTTACTAATGATTTAAGTGAAGAAGTCTTGTCAGTTAGGAAGAAATTTAATTTTTATATAGAAAATAATTAGATTAAATTAATAAAATGACCTATTTACTCCACGAACAAGATTTCTGAAGCTTTTGAAAGGTTCTTGCGGTGAATATATTAAATTACTAAAAAAAGAGACTAGAAAGTATAAATATGCTAGCAAAACCAATAACTGAAGCTTTCAATAATCAATGGTTTAAGTAAAAAAGTTGTTTCACGAAAGAACTAGAGAAACCTCATTCTTAGAAATAAAAAAAATTCATATTAAACTTCAAGATATTAAAAGTAAAACTATTACAAAGAAATTTTCAATATATATTAATTTGAATTTAATTTCTCCTAGGTTGTCCAGGCTGCACCAGCAGCAAACTCTGGCCAGCAAGCACGAGTTAAGAATAGCTTGGATGGTTCAGGAGTTGTTGCATCGATTTCAGGAGCAAGGAGACGAAGTGGACCCCAAGGTTTACGTTCACCAGCAGCTAAGAGGCCACTGTCAGCTCCGGTAGCACTGCAAGGATGGCTACACAAACAAGGTTCAGAGGGGCTCATGCTTTGGAAGAAACGATGGTTCGTTTTGTCGGAGTATTGTCTTTTCTATTATAAAGGTATGTTTTAAAAGGAATGAAATTAAGTTTGTTAGGAAGATAAAATAGTGGGATGAACCTATACTCTATCACTTCTTTTGTAAAATTGACTTTAAAATACTTTATTCGTTCTATACCTTTGTCATTCGCACTCGAATCTAACCTCTTTGAAGCTTCAAAATATCGTATAAGTGAAAGACCTTTCGGAAGAATGTTCTTTTTAGAGTTGAGGGAATGCTTGAAATGAAAAAGAAAGTTCGACACCTTTAATAATGTAGATCGTTGACGGGCACCAGTACCTCAGTCTTTCAACTTACTTCTCTTTACTATCATCATAACCCATCCTCTTCTTTAGTTTTTCTTCTCTTTTTCTTCACTTATAGCTTCTAGTTCTTTAATGCGTGGCAAGAGCATTTCTTGGCACTCGAATTATTCCAATGAGTTTGCTCTGGAGGTAAAAATATCTTTCAAAAAATTACTTCTTTAGTATCCCAAGAACCTTCTCATCATTGAAATTATCATAACATTCTTTTCATCTTCTGGTGGTATTTTTTTATTTCTATTCTACACTGCACTTGGCGCCATGTGTCCAACCTTGATGAAATCACGAATTTACATTTTTAAATTCACGAGTCTCTTATTTATACTAATCCAATAACTCTTCTGAAGTTAAAAAATTTTCTTCCATTTCAAATGTTAATCTATCTTCTTTAGCATCTGCAAAAAAATTTAACTTTTTAGACGTACACCTCTTATGAATGCTTTTGGAATTAAAAATATAAAATTATTTGTACATCTGAGAGGATTATAAAAAAACTTATCTACAAAGTTGAAAATTTTTTTTCTTTTTTTTGTAATTTACAAAGAAAAGAAAAAACGGTTTCAAGTTACAGTTTAAATATTTCTTTCAATTTAACTGTTCACTTTTTGAAAAATATCTTTGAAGAATAAATGCTATTTTTAAGTTTACTTTAAGATTTACTGAGTAAATACGTAAACTGATCGTCGTTTTTGAGTTATACGTTTGTTCTGTCGGTCTTTATCTTCTACTCTTGAGTACTCAGAACAGTCCAACCAACCATAGTTACTTGTATCTATAGGTCCAGAAGAAGAAAAGCTACTGGGTTCCATTTTACTACCTTCCTATCGGATAACTGTATGTAAACCTGAGGATAAGGTCAATAAGAAGTTCGCTTTCAAAGCAGAACATGCAAACATGAGGACTTACCACTTTGCTGCTGACACTAGAGAGAGTATGAATCAGTGGGTAAATGCTCTTACACTGGCGTCACTCTTACAGGATCCCAATCCGTAAGTCAATAGACATTTTTAATTTGATTGAATGCTTGATACTCGAGACTGTAAATAATACAAGAGTGTGTTAGATGCACATACAGAACTAGAATTTCATTAAACTATTTGTCAAACAAGAGTAATGTTTTTGTTTTTATAATTTAATCAAATTTAATTACTTACGAAAACTAAAGTCAAATTGTGGTTTTAGCTTGACTGGAATCTTTTTATTTAAGTAAGATTATCTAGTATTCAATTATCATAAAGAATAAAGAGAAGCTTTTCTCAAGTGCCTTCACTATCCTTTTTCAGTCTTTGAATAATTTAAAATTTACAGAATAAAATTTTGCAGAAGCAGAGAAGAGCCTCCTGTAGCATTGGAAATCGCAGGACCAGCTGATGAAGTTGGAAGTGCCAGGCCAAGTGTTTCTTCAATATCGTCTATTCTTAATCAAAGTGCAGATGATAGTGATTCTGGATTTCACGGACTACAATCAAGAGACGATCCAAGTCAATCGAATAATAATTCCAGTCCTAACAGCATCAATACTGCTTCATTTCCCAATCTCAGTGCTAGTAACAGCAATCATGGTATTGCTAATAGTATAAACAATAATAATAATCATCATAGTCCAGAAAAAATAGAAGACAATCAGCCACGACCGATGGTTAACGGTTGGATGCAACCTCCTCCACAATTTAATCAACCAAGTACCTCATCTCAACAATATGGACACATGATGCCAAATTCTGCTCAATTACAACTCCAACAGCAAGCACAAATGCATCCACAGCATCAAGCGTTGATGCATCAACGAATGGTTCGACAGCAGCATCAAAATGCTATGCAACACCAACATCAGCATATGGTTCAGCAGCAACAACAAATGCAGCAGCAAAGTGCAAGCAATGTTCAAACCGTCCAACCGATGCCTAGAAATTTTGGACAACACGTTTATGCAAATGCCCCACCAAAACCTAGAAGACTGACTGATGGATCAACAGAGTATTCTACGCCTTCTCCAGATCCAGACTTCCGTAAATCTCCAGTTCAACCAAACGTCAGAATGTCCACCAAGTCGCCTATCCCTGATTATGAGAGAGTTAATTCTCTCTATGCATCAAGATTAGCAACGCAATCAACGCCTCCTATAAGAACAGATAAATCAGGGTTAAATTATGGTTACAGTCAAAGCCAGCCATCTGAAAGGCGGACTCCTGATGCATATGGAAGGAGTGCAAAGCCAAGAAATTCACGAGGTAATGGAGATTATGAAGATATTTATTCAGGTCCTCAATTGTATCAAAGACCACCTGGACCAGTTGGTTACAGTAAGGGCTCAGCCCCTATTCCTATTTCTGTTCCTATGTATGTACAACAACATCAATCAAATCAAATTTTTACATCTATTGCATCAAATCCACCAGTTATGAGACAGCAAAGAGTTCAACCACCTCCACGACCGCATAGTGCAGACTTTCTTGAGTACGAGGCTACGAGAAAGCCAAGTCCACAACCTGTCAATCAGAATGGAGGTATTCCAAGCCAACAAAGGCGACCACAAAGACCCAAGTCTAGTTTAGATGTTGTTGGCCCTTCTGAAATTACTTCTAATGGCGACGGATATTATTACTCGGAAGAGAGGTAAAGAAAATATAGTTATTTCAATCAATTAATTTCCGTTGTAATTTGATCGCGGTTTTTAGTTGTATTAAACGTCAATAAAAGACTCATTTTTGAAGAAAGGTCTAATTACATAAATAAATGAGAAATGAAAACAAACCATTAACGATTTTGAATTATTATAAAATGTTTCACTCTCTAACAGCTGATAGGTAATAGCTTTGATCATTAATTTGAAAGTTTTGAATAAAGAGAGACAAGCCTTGAACAATTAACGGAGATTATGACTATCATTAACATCGTTACATGTTATAAACATTATCCTTTGAAATATCTTCAATTACTTTAAACACATTAGGGTTCAATGTTGACAAGATAACTATTTACTCAAAAAAAATTATATTTTTATCATTTCTATTACTAATCAAACTTTATATTTGTAGTAAAAACAAATTTTAATTTATTAAATTCAATGAACAAAAATACTTTCATCAGTTTGGCTTAAAACATTTCGATGAACGATCTTGAAACAACAATAAAATTAAATTAATCGTGTGCGTCTTTTTATTGACTATAAATATCCAACAGAATTTATTTTATTACACTAGAACGCAAAGAATCTTGCACAGATGATATAAATATTGGCAATGTAAGTACTAGCAATAAATATTATTAACATTTTCAGGAAATTTATAACGAAAATCTGTGCATTTATGATATTTGTCGATAAATAAAAAAAAATTAAATGCTTTTTATAAATTATTACTCTGAATAATGATTGAAAAGATAGTTAAATTAATGTACATCATAAATTTAAATAGTTTTGTCATTGTAATTATAATTAAAATTATTACGCTAAACAATATTCGTGTAATTACTCATCTTAAAAAACGTTATTGTCAATATTTTTTTCAATCAATAGAACATAATTAATAATCTTAAGAGTACATTTAACCGATAATTAAATTTTATGTTTAGATATGCAGCTCAAATGCGCCAATCGGCGGTGTACCTCCATCAGAACCCGCAACATCATCAACAGCAGAGAAATCAATCTCTTTCCCGAGCGACAACACCATCAAAATCAAGTTCTCGAGTTGAAGATCATAATGAATCGATAACGCTTAATGAAATTTCATGTTCAGCTGCACGGAGGTCACCGAGAGAATCTCAAATATATAGACAACATCCCGTAGCAACTCAATCTCTCCAGAGATATCCTGAAACAAATGATGCGATGGTACGAAGGTCTTTGCGAGAGCGAAATTATGACCCTTCATTCCACGATTCTTTGATCCACGGTGAAGGAGGAACAGTTCCACGGAGAATACAACGTGACTATGAATCTTCTCCGTTGGTTAACGGTAGATTAGTAGACCCTCTTGAGTCGCATATGTCGCAGAGCTACCATTCTGGTCATTCGGGATCTCGACGTTGGAATGACCAGCAATTCTCTAGGTCAGCGTCGGCTCGATTACCGAGAACACGACATCCAAATGCATCAGATGCAACAGAGAATGATTATGAAAGAGGTTTAGGTCAACCCTCTCGAGATGGAGAGCGAAGAATTCAACAGGTAAATAAAAGAAACTGAAACTCATTAAATTTAGTTCTTTGATGTAACATTTAAACAAGTGTCTCTTTCCCTAGTACAACTGCATTATTTAGCATTTTGGTATTTGTTATTAAAAGTTTTTTAAAATGATTCACTCCATTGAACATAGGTCATCGACACTGACTCACGAGTCGTCTTCAAACCTTCTGATTCATAAAATCCTTCAGGTAAATGCATTCCCGCTCCCACCACTCGCCCTGTTAGCTTTCACCTCATGTCCAACGTGATACACACGTATATATCATAGACTCCCTCTCTACCACTTTTATATCTTAACGACTAAGTCGTTTAGTTATAGTCAACTCACTCTCGAGTCTTTAATCGTCAGTCCTTGGATACTCTTTTACTCAGTAAAGGAGATATAAGTGATGAGTAAAGACGTAATAATATTTGTTTAAATATTACAGAGGGAAGAATCAATGAAACGGCTGTTGGAGTGGAAGCAGCGTATGCTGCAGTCACCTTTGACAAGAAAACCTTCGGGATCTGCAAATGGGAATACAAGGGCTCAGAGTGAGCTGTCAAGTTACTACAAACGTCAAGTACTGTTGGATCTTGCAGCTCATGAAGCTTCAGTTGAGGCACGTCACTCACGAAGACGAGAAGACTCTCATCGACCTCATGTGAGAAGCAAAAGTTCTGACGGACGTCGATCAGTTGCTAATGTGTCGAGGTACAACAGCTACTCCAGTGACGACGAAGGTAGGGACACTTCTTCGCCCGAGCTTATTATATAAGTTTCTGCTTTATTCATATTTATAATTAGATTAGATTCTGAGTATCCAGACTATCGCGTACTATTTAACACTTTTCTAACATACCAGTATAATAATATCCGTGTGTGTGTAAGAATTGAAAAAATGTCAGGACATGATGATGACAAATGCCTGTACATCGTCATGTCTTTAGCGCGTCGACTAATTGTAATGCGTAACGTGGGCTCTGACTAACACACAAAGAGACACATTGTACAGAGAAAAATTTTAAAAACAAGTATACAATTAATAACAAGGACAGAGTTTCAAAGTATAAAAAGTCATAATTGATAGCTTGATCTCTGCTCCTCTAATAACCAACACGAAATTGCAAATACGTGAACACTGTAGCTGTAGTAGACTAAGACAACAAACTGACATTGTGGTCAAATTAAATTCGTAGCGGTAATGTCTCGGGGCGCCTTCTCTCTGCTGTGCTGTTAGGGGGTCTTGGCTCGCTGGTGAATGGAGAGATTAACACTTAGTTAAAAGCAACTTAATGTATAGTGTAACAATTGTCGATGTATACTCCGACTTATATAGGCTCTGGCGATGAGCATGGCATGGCCAAGGTGCATCCACTAACTCTTTATCAGACATTCATTAAATTTAATATCCCATTCAAATAATTTATCATCAAACTAATCACGAGGATTTTGTCCTCTCTTTCTAACTAACTTCCTCACCTTTGCTTGAATTCAGTGACTCATTGGTTATCCTGGTATGCTTATTAAAAAAAAATTTTTTTCACTATTTTTTATTGAACTTACGAGTAATGGAAGCACCTCGTGTCTGTTTTTCTCACGATCTATCAGAGCCTGGCGATGTCCGGAGGAAGCGAACGCGTAGACCCTCGCACGCAGGGCGGAGCCCCCGACAGACCGGCGACGAGAATGCTGACACTAATCCTGGAGATCAAGACAGTGCCAAAGGAAGATCTAATTCAACTCTATCATCAGTTTCATTTACTTCTGCTCTATTTGGTGGAATTCCGCCGGATGCCGGATATGAAGAGGTCAGTTTTCCGCCCCTTCAGGACTGTACCACAGAAACAATGAAATCAATTAAGGACAATGATCTCATTGTTAAAATACCGAAGAAGCCCGGAATACTCAAGACTCCCTCGTCGTTTCCTAATAGACAAAGCAATAAAAACGATGGAGCAAGACTGAATACTCTCGCTGGATATATTCCGGGAGAAACTTGGCAAACTACTAAAAATGTTCAATGGGATTCAACGGAAGATAAAGAAAATTGGGACTCGAAAATTGATGAAAGTAAAGTTATCAAAGAGTTTTCTTATCAGTATATTAAAGCTGAAGAAGTTGATGAAAAAAATCAGATTAAAGAATCCGTAAATCTAGTTCAAAATAGAATTAAATCATTTGAGTCGAGTATTGATGAAAAGGCATCAGTTAAAGAAATCATATCAATGCAAGATCCTTTGAAACTATCACCTCCACAAGCTACTGAAGCTCATGTAGCTAAAGTTGAATTATCACGACAAGGTAATTTAAATATTCGTGAATTCGCACTTGGTAATGGTAATCATGGAAATATTAATAAAGTTAATGAAATGAAAAATGAAGAAAAACCAAATGATACAAGTAAATCAGTCAAGGATTTGCTTGCAGACTTTGAAAGAAAATCTCAACAGGTTAGACATCAAGAAAATAGTCGACGTGAAGAAATAAAACATCGAGGAGTTTTTAGTGATACAGAAACATTGTTATATGATACTGGAAGTGATCTTGATCAATTGGATAAAAGTGAAGAAGAAGTTGATGAAAGAAAAAACGTAGAACAGAAACAACTTCATGAGAATAGTGTTGAAAAAAGTCTTTGTGATAAAAAAGAAATTAAAGGAGCTTTTAAAGAAACTTTTCATTCTCAAGAAACAATTGCTGGACTAAGTATAGATGAGACTCCTGATGCTTTTGCACGATTAAGCATGACTGAATCTATGGTGACTCACGGAGATGAATTATCGACAAAAGGAGATGATAGTCCCGAACCGAAAATTGAAGATATTAATCCAGAGGACCATTATCTTCCAATGTCACCACGAAAAGCTATTTTAGATCCAAATGATGATGACAGACCTGATCCCAAAATGATGAAGAGTCTCTTTGCTAATTTACGTCATGAGGAAAGCTCTTATGTTGAAATGACGCAGAATGGAATTAGTCATTCACTTTTAGCACCAAATGAAAACGATAATAAACTCGATTCTGGTGATTATTCTACCTTAGATGCATCACACTATGAATTTGTTTGTGTCGCTGATAATAAAATGGAGCCTGTTTATATGGAATTGAATCAACTTGCTGAAAAAGAAGAAAAAGAAAGTGTTGAAAAGCCTGCGAAGAAAAAAGATTCAAGTGAAAATAATCAACGACCAGCTCGTACAGATCTTCCAGATATTCTTACAACATTAAAATCAGATAGCTCTGATGCTGATGATGAATCTTCTAGAGATTTAGATTCTATCGATGCACCAAGACATCCTCGATTTAGTTTATCTGATACCTTCAGGCCTGCTTCGTATTATCTGGGAGCAAGTAGAACTCTTATAGCAGAATTACACGATTCCTCCGACAGCGAATTAGTTTCTCCACCTCCGATACCAACTTCTCCGCCTCCAATGGATGATTTAGATTCCTTAGACATGCAAGAGACTTTGGAGGTAAAAAAATGCTCACCTCAAGTTCCAGTTAATCGAGATTCTACAAGATCTTCTCCTAAATCATGGAATAAAGCAACTGGCCAAGTTGAAACTCCACGACCACCTTCAAGATTCTCAGAAGCTACAATAAGTTCTACATTTAGAGATAGTCGTATTTCGCTTGAAAGTGCATCTGGAAGCGATTCTTTAGAACTACGAAACCCCGATGAAGAAGCTCGTCACAGGCGAATGAAGAGACGACCAGTAAGCGATGAAGTCTGCGAAGTTTTAGATAGTCTTGATGAATTGGAATCACTTGGAAGTCGATTTGACGGTGCAAGTATTGACCTTGATCAATATCTTGAAGAACTTCAAGCACGAGATGCCTTCAACTTAGTAGATCTATACGCTAAAGATTTAAGTTACAATAGGATCTACGGACTTAACGAGAATATGTTGGTCACTGATAAAATCCAAAAGACAACGTCCCAAGAGATGTCAAAGATAAGTCTTAACCCTAGTACTTTAGACCAACCATTTCACTACAATTCTCGAACAAAAACAAGCTCAGTTTCTTCTTTACCATCGATAAGAGTCAGCGATAAACCCAGTCCCAGTCATCAACACTCACAATCATTTACGGGGGATGCTCATTACGAGAATGTAGCAAGATTCTCACCAGTTAGAAGCTCGCCAGCAGTTCGATCGGAAGGTGAACTAATGAAGGAAGACTTCAGGTGCCAAAAAAACCAAGCTCAGCCACATATATCTCACACTAGAGACTCTAGTTATCCCATGACAACTCCTGGAGGATCTAACGCAATTTCTGCTAGTTATCAGAGGCCTAATAGTGCTTTATCAATGCCAATGGCTTCTCAAGTGAATTCAATAATTTCAGGAAGTCATACAAACTCGTATTGTCCACGTGGTCAATCACCTTATAACGATCAAAGGACTCGTAATCATTCTAGATCAGCTAGCCAAGATTCTGCTAGGTATTCTTTATCACCTAATCATCAATCATCATCAAGCCAAGACTCTAATCATATTTCATCGTCGTCTGTTGCTAAAACTACTACTCAAAATACAAGAAATTCTCCGAGAGCGTATTTGAATCAAAGTAATAATCAACAAAATGAAGAAAATGATCAATCGGGGGCACCATATTATTATTCAGATCTACAAGTAGCTGTAAGTGGAGCTGAGAAGCCGCCATCAAGACCAGCACAAACTTTAATTGCTCATACATCTCGACTACCTCAATTAAATAACCAACGAGATGATTCTTCGGGATTAAACAAAAGAAATGATATTAGTAGACTTGTGAATCCCATTAACAGACAAATGCCTCGGAGAATTGAAGTAGAAGACATTGATGAAGCTAGAAGAATTGCAGCAGAATTAAGAAAGACATCAAGTCAATTTTTGGCCGACACTAAATCAAGATTAGTAGATAAGAGAAATTTTTATGAATCAGATACTTTAAGACGAGTCAAATCTACAGATCCACTATCTGATGTACCTCTACCTGATGTAAGTACAATAAACTTGTATCCTCATGGACTCAGAGATAAATCCGGAAGTCAAACACAATTAGCAACTGGTGAATCTATTCAAGAAGTATCGCAAGCAATAGTCCAGCCCTCTCACAGAAGATCTAGGTCATTAGAAGGACTTTTAGATGATGTTGGTTTACAAAATCTAGTAGAACAACGTAACAGAGCTAACAGAGTGTCCTCAGTACCTCCTACAAACACCCAAGTAGAGAATAATAGCTCTCGACAATCAACATTCTCTCGAATTAATTCAGAGGAACCCTTTGAAGGTGAAGAAACGTGGGAGCAGGATACTTTATGGAGAGAGAGTCTTAGAAGAGTAAGTCTTCGCCATGCCAGGTCTTTAGATAATTTAGACAGCCCAGGAAGATCTGGTGAAGTTCCAAATGATACTAAAGCTCGTCCAAAAATTACTCGAGGTGCTACTTACGTTAATGAAGCTATTCTGCAACGTTTAACTTCACCGGAAGACAGTCAAGAACGACCAAGAGTTAAAAGACGAGTAGAAGTAAACGAAAGTGAAGTAAATCAAGAAGACGATGGAGCTTATGAATCTCTTGCTATGGATAGAAGTGCTGGAGGGTACATTTGGAATCCAACTGAAAATGAATCATTCAGACAATCAAGTCAAACAAATTCAAGTAATTTTTTAGACCAAGGCAACCTTCCCCAGACTCATCAGCAAACAGAATCACGCTCATTCGAGTTCGATCGCGAGAAGTTACGTCAATGGGATCTTCTGTCGAGTGCTTGTTTACTCCAAGAACAACAACGCACTTCGATGGCAGAGTCAGGGAGAGGGTTGCCAGAGCGTCGCATCTTACATGATGGTCAAGATGATGTGTCAACAATGATAATGATGATGGAGGAGGAGAGAAGGATACGAAAAATAAGGACAGAGTGTAGTGGTAACAAGGTTGAGATGATTGATGGAGAAAAGTCAACTGAGGAGAAGGAGAATGGCAGAGGTGAGTGGCACTTTGGGACTGGTGCTGGGTTCAGGAAGTAAACATGACGTTCACCCAAGCCGGGTTCCAACATAGTCCCTTGCCTCAGCCTTCTCACTGATTTTGTAGAAAACTGCCAGGACATTCGTCAACATAACGAGACTTTAGTTTTTAAATATATAACGGACCGAGTTCCAACTCGTTTTTTTTGGACAGTTTTTGTTTTATTATTTTTCATTCACAGGAAAGTCTCGTTTTTACAGTACATTTAACAGTTGATCTTAACGGATTCGAGTTGGAACGCGGCCTGGGTAATTTGCCAGTCGATGTGTCTCTAAAATAGATTTTCTATACATAATACATTATATACATACATATATAATAATTGCGAATTTTTCATGAACTGCAACTGACTTATAAGCGTCATGACCGTATCAAAAAATTGAACTAAAAACGAATGCGAAGGCAAGTTGCCAGCTAAAGCGTTTATAAAAGTTTTAAAAGCTGAATAATTTCAGCTTCAGAAAATAGTTGACTGACAACGACTCCAGATGTATTTTTCTCTTTTAATTTTTGTATCTGAATATTACACTCATTGTCTTGGATACTTAGACTGAAGAGTGGACTGAAATTTTGTTAAAATTAAGCTTGGTCAGCGTTAATTAATTTTTTTTTTTTTGTACATAATAGTTGTTATTATATTATCATTAGTCTGATTTTAACTAGATCAATCTTATGTTTTTTTTTTTACAATGCATATTATTTTTAAAATATTTTATTATTATCAGTTACTCTATTTTTAGTGAGAGAAAAAATATATAGATATAAATATAAACTAGTTCTCATTAAAATTTTGTAAATAATTACTTCTAATAAGCACATAATTAATTATAATTGATATATCAATCGACTATATCTTGTCTTGTAAATAAGATTGAAAAATTATTTTTGGCAATACAAGCAATATTTACAAAATTTTATTCGATTTATTTGTTTATTTATTCATCTAATAATTCATTCTTAGTCCTAAAAAATTCAATCATATCTTCAAGATATTCGAAAGAATCAATTATCATTTTCAAGCCGACCTAATCTTTTTTACTCCATTATTCTATTTTCATGCTCATTAATTCCCCCCCAAAAGGTCCAATATCCGATCCTATTTCATTAATAAAAAACAAAAATAGAGAATACTATTTGTAGCTTTAGACTTGTACTAATTCCATTAACTCCAATACAATGAATAAAGATCAGTCAATTTAAATAAGATGAGACTTGAACGACATTAATGAACATTATTGACTATAATCTCTATAGTCTTTGATGTTCAATAAGACATAACATGAAGCTTTGGTCAACAGTAACTCAATAAGCTCTCAAGCTTCCGCAACATTGCTTTCTTCCCTGTACATTGCACTTTATCCAAGGTTCAATAACACTGATGACCAAGTGTGTGATGTTCCCTAACCACAACAAAGATCTATACAAGGTATATAAAGTATACATGTGTACCAGCAGTCATGTATTGACAAAGTATAACATACAATAAGAATCGATCCCTTGTAGATTTCAATTTACAGACGTATTGTATGTACAAATCCACAAGTGTAAAGCTATAGTTATCTAGCAGTAGGTCACCAATACTTGCTTCAAATTTTCTCTCTTGGAAAACCATCAAATATCCAACACCTCTTTTATTTTCGTCAGCACTTATTTAAGCTTAAAACTCCATCTAATAAATGATTATTTAATTACTCTCATCATCAATGTTTTTAAATAGAACATAACCTCGTTTTTAATTAAAATAACTACTAATAATAATGATTTATAGAAGATAATTAGATGCTCTCGTACCTTATTAATGTTTTTATTGTTGGTCCAGTCTGAAATTAGCTACGGAAGTTGATTTTAATTTACGTTTCATTGACGATCAAGTAGGAAAAAAAAACGTTTGATGGTACAGCAGACAGTGAAGAAAAAGAGCGGGTCCCCCGGTAGTTCATAACAGCCACCGGTTGACAAACGTTGAAGCATGAGGAGAGTAGGGCGAGCTTGGTTCGGTGAGAGTAACGTGCGAGTCAAACAGGTCGAAAGAACCAAGTCAGTCAGCCGATGGCGCTCCATGCGATATCATGTGCGCGTCTTTGAAATATTATTTTATTTATTGAACACGATGTGTCTCGACTGTCTATCAATGTCATTGGTTTTTGAGAGTTTATCATGTACGGAATTTAAATAAGAAACGTATTTTTATACTAAATAAACTTTAACCAAACTTTTTAGTACTGTCATCACGATCCAAAGTGAAACAATGTGACAATTGACAATCAGAGCATGATAGGTTAGAATTTTAGAATACTATTATATGCATGATTGAACATCAATTTGATTGAATATAACAATCAAACTTATTCTAAAATAACAAGTAAAAGTGTTGATTACTGATGATATAAAAATGATAATTAATGAAGAAGTTAGGTGACATATGGAAGTAGTATAGTTTGAAAGTTATGAGAAATAAAAGCAAACGAGACAGACAGAGAGAAACTCAAAGCTGATTGCAAGTGCAGTTGGACTAATTAAATTATAGCTGATTGACTCGGCAAACTCGGAGAGAGTACAGTATTGATTCTATACCTTCAACGTCCGATTCAGCAGAGGAAGCTTCATGGATACAGATTGCAAGGAAGCTAAAGTTATCACGACTCTGTGAAAAAATCGATCGTTCTCTTTCAGTTACCATGCTCACGTGAGGATATTCATGGCCTTATATCTTTCAAAAATATATTTCACAAGATGATGTATTTTCCATGAAAGCAAGATGTATATTTTTAAAATAATAGAAATTTCAAATTGATTCATTTTTTATCTGAAAGGCATTTTGGAAATGTTTTAAAGTGTTATAGAAAGAAAAAATATCAAGTTTATTTTCTGACTTAAAACAAAAAAATTAAATAAAAAAATACATTTCCTACTGGAGCAATTCATGTCAATGAAACAAACATTTGACGAATCGACTGCTCGTATGCTTTTGTTTGTGAATACCGGAAGCGTCGACGTCGCGGAAAGTCCGCATTGAGGTGTCACCCACCAACAATGTAATACATACACCAACAGTGAATGAACGTGAGATTCACGGAAAGTTACATTTACGTTTACCAGCCTCTGAATTTTTTATTCAAGAAATGGGTGCAGGCAAGGTTGGACTTATTTGTGGAAGCTGTTGGACTGGAAAATACAGTATGTATTTAATAATTATGTATATAAATACGAAAATACTGGTGTACAACGTTTCTAAATTATTTTTCAGGGTATTACTTTGAATAATATTTTAATGCTTTAAGAAAAAAACATGTTGAATGATGAGAGAAGCTATAAGTTGGAGTTTCAATTCAAGTTTTGAAATGATTAAACGAAATAAATTTTCATCAAAGAAGGAAGAAAGTGAAAAAGAGTAGTGGAATGGTTTTGGTTTTGATTAGAGTGAATTCAATATGAGATTAGTCATGAATTCTTGTATGTCTAAGAGAAAAATCTAGAGTAAAAGTGATAAAAGTAATCTATCTTTTGGTGGCCTTTTAAATTCCTGAGGCTGAATTTCATAAGATAACCTTTCATTGGCCCTTCATGTTGGTATGCAGTGAATGAAATAACTTGAGTAGTACTATTCTAGATTCTGAAGTCAATGAAAAGCAAGTTTTTATTAAACTTCTTACACAATTTTAATTATTTCTTCCAACCATAATTCAAATTGTTTTTTTTTATCAAGTATAATTAATTTTAATTAAAGCTTTTTTAATCTTAATAATAATCATTATAATTTCTTCTTTTCGTTTGGATTTTATAAAATGATTAGAGTCACTTGATGCTAGAGTATAAATTCATGACAGTTATATCAACAAAGACTGAGATAAATTTATGATAAATTATTTTGCTGAATATTGGAAAACATGAATTGAAACTCCATCATATGAGCAATGTTTCATTTCTCTTTCAAAATAAAACATACATAATATTTGCTTTTCAAAGACAGTATAAAAAAGTATACGACAAATCACACAGAATTCCCGTTGGAAGATGCGTCTTGCCCTTTTCATCTTACTCATCTCCAACTCTCTCTCGTGTCCTGCATTTAAACGTCATGTGTACACATCCAACTCTAATACGTCTGTGAGCAGTTGCTACTCACATGTACTATAACTCGACATGTATGTATGAATGGTCGATTCGACCGGTACTATTGGTTCTGCAAAAACATCAATACATAACTATACAATACTCATATATTTATGTAATCTATGATTGCTTAGAGAAAAATAGTAGGATATTACCGCAATATTTTCTTAAAAAATATTGAAAAAGAAAAAATATAAATGATTGTAATTTTTCACCGTCAACACATAAATAATCTTCATCTTTTCTGTCATTGTTTTTACCAGTAAATGACTAAAGAATAGATCGTAAAATAGATCTCATGCAGTTTTAAGTTAGGTACTAGAAACTTTCAAGGTTTAGGTTTAAAAAATTTCTTACAGGTATAGAAAAGGTATTATAAATGGTTAGTAAAGCGTAGCTCAATATCTCAGGTGATTTCAACCTTCTAAATCGATACTAAGAATCCCGTTAGAAGCTAAAAAACTTGAATTTAATACTTATTTCCTATTTTACACTTCATTGATATAGTTTTATAAACATTTAGTTATTAATATTAGCTAGTTGTTCGAAATAAATTAAACGTGATATCAAAGTAAAGGAATTTTTTATTGGTCATTCACTTCTTTATCGATGACTGCGAGCTATTCAAAGTGCAAGAGAGGGAAAGAAAAGTGAGGGGAATAATTAAAGAAAAAAATCTTAGGTGTGGTTATCTAGTAGAGAAATATATTTTATTTTGCGTGTGAGAAATGTCCTACTTTTTCTGTTATATTTTGCAACAAATCATTAAATTTTATTCATCACAAAATTAGTTGAAGTTAAAAAAGTTTTTATTGTTATTAAATCTGTGTGGGTTTTGAATTTTAATTTTTTTGATTATTTATGGAATGTTAATAAGCTAAAGTAGATGATTTACTATCCAATGTTGCAACACATACCGTTATTATCGTACAGCTTATTGCTAAATACTTGAGGAAAAATTTGCAAAATAAAGCAAAATAAAATTATAGTTTTTATTATAATGCAAATATTTCAGTAAAAAAATATTATGCATATTTATAAGGGTTTTTTTTACTGTAAAATAATTTACTAGTAGAGAATTCGTTGAAGAATAAATCGGTTTAAGCGATTAGTTTGTGAATTTTTCTAATAAAATTTATCAACACTTGAATATACTTAAAAAATAGGAAAAAATATCGAGAAAATAGCAATGAAATATTATATAAAATAATGAGAAAAAGAAGACTATAATACTGTCACATGCAGCAACAGGTTTGATACAAATAAGCTAGAAAAAGGGCTTCTCGATTCTCCCCTTTTTCTTGACTCGTGGAAGTGGCACTCTATCAATTGGTCGTTTGTTGTGGGAGATAATGTGATAAACAAAGCCATTAAAATACCATCAACACATGTTTTTCCCCATCATCAAAGCAATCAAAATAAAGCTAAATTATTTCGACATCACATATTTTATATTATTTTTGAATGAGAAACATGAAGTTTTCTCAACAAATTTTTAAGAATAAAATAAAAAGAAAGATAAACTGGCAGACAAAAAAGCTCAAGTCGACAGTTAGATTGCTTTCCACGCCCATTTCCTAAGGCAAAGCCGATCGACCGAGAAAGCTTGTGGTGGAAAGATCGGC